TGACCGGGAATCGAACCCTGTTCGCCTGGATCCTAGGTCGACGCTTAACCGCTGAGCCACGCCCGGCTGGGCAAAGCTCTTTAGTTTATTGATTGGAAAGATGTTTGGTCTTACAAAACATGACAGAACCAATATACTTTTTTCCCCCTTAATTTAAATCATGATATGGATTGTGTTTTCTTTGCTTCATTTTAATTGTGTTTTTCTTTACTTAATTGTGAATGTTTTTATTTTTGTTTTGGATACTAGTGGATACTATTATACCTATAATTTTATATAGCAGACTTAATCCTCTATTTCTTTAGATGGCATTTAGATATTTCTTTATATAGTGGTCTCCCCACTAAGCAATATCAGAATTATACTTTCAGTTTCCCTTCACCATACAGTTTTAGTTCATATTACGTTTAGTTTTAGTACTTACATTTTATACTTTTAAATTACTTACATCTGTAACATTTGGTCTTTTCAGCTTTCAAGGTTTTTTTAAAACTTTCATCTCCCTTCCCCATTTCTTCCCCGTTTTCCTTCAACCTTTTTAATAGTTTATAACACTTGCATTTCATTCTGTTACGATAATCCCCAGAATTGTTTTAAATGTATTTCTAGAGCTGAGTGAATTTATTGCCCACTCCCAATACCTTTGGTATGGTTTCTCCATTCATCTCTTAGTTATTTGTTTTTACCCTTTTTAAATAAGAAGGATGAATGGGAATTTTTCCCTGAATTATTGCATTAAAAAAATTATGTCTCTTGCATTAATTTTGAATACCAGTTTAATTTAGCTAGGTATAATTTTTTTTGCACTTTCATTTCCTAAATTCTTGATAAGCATTGCTCCTCTGACTTCTGTTTTGAATGTTGCTGTGTGGAAGGTTGAAGTCAATCAGAATCTTGTTATCCTTATAAGTGAACTGATTTTTTTTTTCTTAAAAGGATTTTTTTTCCTTCAATGGTTGCATGGACATGGTTGAATTCTTACCGTCTATATATTTAAATCTTTTAGTTACATTTTTAATTTTTCTGGGTTTTTGTTCTTTTATTGATAATAATTGCCTATAAGATCTGTTTTGTTTTCTATATTATTTTTTAATTTTTATAAACTTTATTTTGACCATTTTCTCAGTCCTGTCCTCTAAGCTGCTTACTGAGTAGTTAGTGGTATCTATTCTGCCTTGGGCTTTTTCCAGTTTCCTTTTTTTAAAATAGTTTTTTATTTTTTGGTTATAGTTGATATACAATATTATATTAGTTTCAGGTGTGCAACATAGTGATTAGATCTTTATGGAATGGTTTTAGAAAGCCTGTGTTTTTAGCTAGTTGAGGGCCTTTAGATTCCAACTCTCATCCTGGTAACAGGTAGCTAGGACTGTGAAAAAGCTTAGAAAGAAGGGACAAATGCTCTTCACTGTCTGCCAAGTTTGCTGTTGAGTCATAGTCCTTCTTATAATAGTTTCAGATAATCAGAATTCCCCCTTGAGGTTTTGCTTTTCTCCTCTCCTATCCACTCATATAGCTTTTTTGCAGAAATTTTTCTACTTTAATTTGAATGTGTACTGTTATGGATGTTTTTAATTTGTGGATTTAAAAATAAATATTTTGGGGATTATTTGGTTTTGTTATATGGAAGAAGGGTTATGAAATTGCCTCTTAGTTCCCAGAGTAGTTTGTGTGTTCTTTCCCTAAGCAAGAATTAGTAAATCTTGTGTAAATGGTTTATTAGGTATTATGATATTTTATTAAATGCAGATATTAGGTGAAAGCTGAGAGAAATGTATAAAGCTGAGGAAAACATAAATTTAGAGGGTCTTTGGATGTGCCCCTCCTTTTTACATTGTATGTAGATATGATAGATGCTTTTTCTTTGATCAACATACCTCTGAGGATATGAGTGTTCTGTGGTTTTGTTTTTGTTTGTTTTAACCCTCTCCCGAGGATGGTTTTTCCATTGCTTTTCAGAGAGAGTGCGAGAGAGAGGGAGAGAGAGAGAAACATTGATGTGAGAGAGATACATCAATTGGTTGCCTCCTGCATGTGCCCCAACCGGAGATGGAGCCTGCAACAGAGGTACGTACCCTTGGCTGGAATCGAACTGGTTGTTCAGTCCACAGTCTGACACTAACCACTGAGCCAAACTGGCTAGGGCGCGGTGGGTGTTCTATTTTAAGTCATATCTGTGATGAAATAGATTTTGCTACTATGCTGATAGCATACTTGTAGTCCAAGATTTGAGAAGCACTTCTGGCCATATTCAAATCATCCATTTTATTCATTTGGCTCTTGGGAAATGGTAAGGGATTCTAAGTATCACTTTGGACCTTTTAGGATAACATGGTCAAAGAAACTGTGGCCACAGGGCTTAAGAACTTGGGCAGAGCCCTAGCCAGTTTGGCTCAGTGGCTAGAGTGTTAGCCCGCAGACTGAAGGGTCCCAGGTTCAATTCCCGCCAAGGGCACCTACCTCGGTTGCAGGCTCGATCCCTGGCCCTGGTTAGGACATGTGTGGGAGGAAACCATTATATGTGTTTCTCTCACACTGATGTTTCTCCCTCTCCCTCTCTCCCCTTTCTACTCTCTTTGAAAAGCAGTGGAAAAAATATCCTCGGGTGAGGATGAAAGAAAACCGAAAAAACCAAAAAACTTGGGTGGTGACTGACTGTGCCCACCTCACATGTCATTAAGCTGTTTTCCCCAGTAAGTGTGCATCATAGTGTTACCCCACAGTATTTTATCTGTCAGGTATATTTGTGTTAGTCCTTAGTCCTGACACGGGGGAAAAGGAAAGGGCCATTTTTCTTGGAGACAGCAACTGGAATCTTAGATTCTCAGGGCTTTGGGAGGGCTTGTCACCCATCATTATGTTTTGTCAAGTTTGGCAAGAAGCAGTATGTGCCATTGACCTTTTACTCTGTGCCTAGTGCTGTGCCAAGTGCTTTTATGTCCCCTATCTCATTTTTTATTAGAATGATTACATGAGCTTTTTATTATCATCCCCATTTTACTGATGAGAAAACTGAGACTCAGAGTTAAATTACATGGTAGTTAAGTAGTAGAGTTGGGATTTGAATCCAGGACTCACTGGCTCAAAAGCACATGCCCTTAACGACTGTATTACTGTGTCAGAGCTGGTGGTTAGTCTTGTAAGTCTTCTACAGCTGAACAAGAGTAAGGCATTATAGACAAACAGTAAAAATTCTCATTATCCATCATTTAAACCAGGTTAACTCTGTGTTTGAATAATTGAAATGGGCTTTCACATTTGACTTGTCCCTTCCCCTCACATAATGCAGAGACTCAGATTACAGTATTCCCCCTTTTCTGTGGATATACATTCCAAGACCCCCGTGGATGCCTGCAACTGTAGATAGTTCTGAACCCTATATATACTATGTTTTTCTTATATGTATGTACCGCTGATAAAGTTTAATTTATAAATTACGCACAGTAAGAGATTAACAACAACAAAAATAAAATAGAATCATTATAACAATATGCTATAATAGAAGTTATGTGACTGTGGTCTCTTTCTCTTTGATAACCGAGATGGCTGCTAAGTGACTAACAGGCAGGTAGTGTACACAGTGTGGATACGCCAGAAAGAGGGATGATTCATGTCCTGAGAACTGCACAATTTAAAACTTATGAATTGTTTATTTCTGGTATTTTCTGTTTAATATTTTTAGATCATGATTGACCACTGGTAACTGAAACCATGGAAAGTGAAACTGTAGATGGGGGGTGGGGAGGGACTGTGAAATGAGAAGGGGTAGAAGAGTGAATATTTCTTTCCCACCGATAATTTTATATATGGTTAAATGAATTTTGCTAGAATTTCTTTCCTTTTCCTAATGGAAAAACTTTAGGCTTTAAATGTCAAAATGAAAATTTATCCTGAATAAAGTGAGTTCTGAGATAGGAGCCATTATGAATGACATGCAATTATTTAAAATGGCATCTTCCATATTTCTCACTTTTAACTTGGAAATTTGCTCTTTTGTCATTTGGTGATCCAAAAACAGCACAGCTAACATCAGCTTGGTTTTTCTGGCTGGGGTAATGAACTTAAATATTTATTTCTGTGGCTGTAATGGGGACTGCTTTGTGAATTCCACTGTAACTTTGTGATTAATGTGACCTTACCTTAGAGTCTTACCAAGTATTCCTGCCTTCTGGGCACAATAGAGACAGACTCTCCTATTGTTTGCAATTACCCTCATAAAAATTTGAAAGCAGGAAAGAAAAAGTTTTTTTCCTCTTAGGACAAGTTTGCCTTCTGCTTTTTAAAATTAGGTTTGCACTTTCCCTGTGGTATGAAGACAGCCCTCCAGGTCCACACTTACACCTGTGGCTGGGTCTGCAGCCCTCTGCCGAGAGACGGTGTACTTTCTTTTTGAACTGGCCATGCTGGGCAATGGCAAAAAGACCCCGAGCAGGCAAGCCATTCTTTTCTGTTTCACTCTGGATGTCAGTAAAAATAGCCTCATCCCCTCCTGTCCTGCCTGAGCGACAGAATAGGGAAATTATTCATTTCCGCCAGTGCTTTGGCTTAGGACATACTCAGAAGACAGTCTTGCATAGTTCTGTGGTTGATGCCTTAGTTAGCAACCCAGTCACTAAAAACAAAAGGAGCGGTGCTGCAAGAAAAGTGGCTCCTAAGATTTGGAGCCAGGTAGTGAGGTCCAGGGCACTGGGTTGAAGGGAAATTATTTCTGGGCTATTTTGGAGAGTCTAGTCCTGAGGACAATTAAACAGTCCAGACAGGTCACTGGGTGAGACCAATTTCCTGCTTTGTTTATTTGAGCCTGATTGTTTTCACCATCGAGCAGCAGGTCATGGTCCTACTACACCGATACCCCAGCTCTGCGGAGTGCAGTCCCTTCCGTATTTGGTTTCTCCAGGCTTCCCTAAGGAGCCTAGCCGTGTCTTTTATCTGGTTGGATTGTTCTGGGGTCCAGAGCAGAGGGCAGTGTCAGTAATCACTTTCGACTTCATCTTATGCAGGCCTTTGGCTTTATGTCCCGAGTTGCTCTGCAAGCAGAGAAGATGAATCATCACCCGGAATGGTTCAATGCCTACAACAAGGTAATGAAATTGCCTTACTTTGGGATCACCTTAATTATGGAGTTTGGGAAACCCCTTTCTTCCTTGTCATCCTGTGCAGCTAAGTGTCATTGTGCTTAGGAAAGTATTCTCTCTGTTTTTCTTAGAATCCTGTGTATTTTTGCAATTTAGTAACAAAATTTCAGATCTGCTCAAGAGAACAGTGACTAAGCCATTTATTTTCATGTTTGTCTTCTATTGAAACTAATATGAAAGTTGGGCCATATTAGGCTCCTGAATGAAACAAACCATGCAGATAAAATTTTAAACCCTCTTAAGGTAAATTATTGAAAGAAATGGAAGCAAATAAGAAAGATACGGCCTTATTTATCTCATTGAGATAAATTTGCTCAAGAACTGTGTTTTAAATAATAACTTTATTAAATGCAGTATCCCTGACATTCTTAAGACAAAGAGCAGATCGAAAAGATTTCATCAAGTAGTGTTAAGGGGTCACAGTGAGAGGAATCAGCCCATGCCCCGAAAGAAAGTGTCTTTGCCTTTATGGTCATACCATTTAGAATGTACCTAGATTTCTCTGGGGTTCTTTTTTCTCTTTGAAAGTCCTCTTTGAATAAAGAGAAAAATCTCATGATATTTTTGTGATTTATTGTAATAATTCAGAGCATGCATGTACCAGAATAAACTTTTCTTTCACTGTTGCCTCTCCTTGCCCATAACTGCTTTTGCCTTTTAATTGATTTGTCAGGAAGCAAAAGTCTGTTCTTCCATCCCACCACCACCTTACTTTCCTAACTTGGAAACATTGCTAAACTGTTACATTTGATACCTTTTTCTCAGTGGCCTGAAAATAGTGGGTATAATTAAAGTAATGGGAGCTCAAATGGAATCTCAGTCTCTCTTTTATTTTTCAAGAGACAAGATTTGAGATTCTGGCAGCTGAGTTGCCCTTCATGTGAGAGAACCTTTTTATGCCCGGGCAGCTGCCGCGGCCCAGCCTGAAGCAGTGCCCCTGGCGTAGGCTGGGTTTTGGAAATGCCGTGTTTATTCATGTTTTTGAAATCATTTAATCTCACCAGTTCTTAAATGTGAACAATGGATAATAGGTTGATTTCTGAACTACCAAAGGAGAATACCATGAATCACAGGTCACAGTTTTAAAAACTGCTTCTCTCTTTCTTAGGTCCAGATAACTCTCACCTCCCATGACTGTGGTCAGCTGACCAAAAGAGACGTGAAACTGGCCAAGTTTATTGAAAAAGTAGCTGCTGCTTCGTGACTTCTTTCAAAATGCATGTAAAACTTATACGCATCTTAGGCGCCAATGTATTTGATGGATGATTTCCATGAGCAAATTGAGTTGTAAATTTAGTTCACCTTTATACTACATTTTGAAAAATCAATGCTTAAATACAAAGTGATTTAAATTTGAGCCTGAGGTATTTTTCATTATATCTAAGTCACATATATAAGGTAAACCGACCCACGTAATTGTGTTAATAATACAGTATTGGAAAAGAGATAGAGCATTTTTAAAGACCAGAAATTGGGATGGAAGAGCATTCACACATTTTATAACCCAGAAATTCAAGTGATTATGGTGACTTTACAAATGCATTGTGTAGTTAGAAAATAGTTACAAGGCAGAAAAAGAATGATGAGCTCTGTAGGTAAAGGGTTGTAACCACCTATAACAGTTCTTATGAAGCTAAAGTTGATTTGGACTTTAGCTGCTATTACTTAATTAGATGACAAAATCACAAAAATTGGGTGAGCTATCTTGTGTTTTATTCTTACTTTTCAGGCAGGCAGTTGAAGGGAGAGGACAAATGTTTTGTCCATGGCCTCTAGCAAGGAAGGACAATATAAAGATTCACAGTCATAAATGACAAACTTGCCAGGTCATTATTTGAATTACTGAATTAAGGAGGAACCAAGGGTCATATTTTTCATCATTTGCTTGTTGTGCCCTCTGAACTGAAGGTCTGTAGCCATTGAGCTAGAAACTACTTGGGTGTTATCCAGGAATGAGCTCTGTTTACTCTGTGTGTCACTGACAGGAGTAAAATGGAATATAAAGTAATCTATTATTATTATTATTATTTTAAAATATCTTTATTGATTTCAGAGAGAGGAAAGGAGAGGGAGAGAGAGAGATAGAAACATCAATGATGAGAGAGTCATTGATCAAGCCCGCAACCCGGGCATGTGCCCTGACCAGGAATCGAACCCCGATCACCTGGATCCCAGGTCGACACTCAACCGCAGAGCACGCCTGGCCGGGCTAAAGTAATCTGTTATTTAAAAATTACAATAATAGCATCCTTTGAAGGAACTCAGGAATGTACTTATTAATGAGCTTAGAATGCAGATTAAAAGAATGTATACATCTATATTCATCCAAGGAACCTGTGTTAATCCCTCCAAGCATTATTGTGGTAGGATTTAATAGGGATCATCTTTGTAACCGTCCTCACTTTAGAGGTCATAAAATTCACTCTGCATTATAACAAGCAAACCTTCCCCTCCTCACCCCACCCCAGCCTCCAGTCTGAGAAACCCTATGGGAACATGACAAGGAGGCTGAGCTCGCTGCAGCCAGTTCCTGGCTGGTTCTGTTGGCCTGGGAGAGGCAGGTACAGTTAGTTTGCCCCGTGGGTATGGAGCGTGCAAGGAGGGAATGGAGAGAAGGCCACCAAGGCTCTGTGGCCGCTGGGAGAGCCAGGGCCTGGGTGCTAGAACGGTGCTGCTTAGAATTCTTTTAGAGGAAAAGGCAAAGCTATGCGTTTTTATAAACTCTTATTTATAGATTTTGAGGAACTTTGATATGTTTTATTACCAAATATTTTTAGTTCAGTGCTTCCGTTTTTTTACATGAGTTTTTAAACATGAAAAAATATTTTAAGAGTGAATTGTACATTGAACCCTTACACACTGATCACCTAGATTCAGCAGTTACCAAGATTTTGCCCCAGTTACTTCACATAATCCCTCATTTCCTTTTTCTTTGCTAAAGTATTTAAAAGCAAATCCCTCGCATTTCATTTTACCCTACATCCTTCAGTAAACATCTCTAGAAAATACGGTCATTTTCTTGTATAAACCAGAATGCCATTATCACACCTAACAAAATAAACCATGATTTCTTGGTATCACCTAATACCCAGGCAAAATCAATTGCCCTGAAGGTCAAAAATGTGTTTGGACAGTAATTTTGGTCTAACCAGGATCCATATGAAATCCACCCATCACATCTGGTTGTTGTGTCTTTTTAATCTTTCAATCTAGAGCAAGCCAACTCCCCTTCCTTTCCCCTCCCCCCTTCCCCATGTTACTGACTTATTGCAAAAACTGGGTCAGGGGTCCTGTAGAATATTCCACCTTCTGGATTTGTTTGTTTGCTCCCTTGTGGTATAATTTGACTTGTTTCACTGTACCCTGAATGTAAACCTTTCCCACCCCCTCTTTTTTTGTTAATCCTCACCTGAGGATATTTTTTTCCATTGATTTTTAGAGAGAGTGGAAGGGAAGAAAGGAAGAAGTGGGAGAGAAAGAGAGAAAGAAAAACATCGATGTGAGAGAGACACATTGGTTAGTTGCCTCCACCATGTGCCCCGACTGGGGCCGGGGATCAAACCTGCAACCCAGGTACATGCTCTTGACCTGGCATCAGACCTGTGACACTTTGGTGCATGGGCTGAGGCTCTAACCATGTCACCCGGGGCTCCTCCTGTTTTGAATGAAAGTCTGAGAGGCTAAACTCATTGGCTGTTAACATATACCATGTATTGCACACTAGAGAAAGCAGAATATGGCTCATAGTTGCAATAGTGAAGACCTGAGAATGCAGCTACTAATTAGCATGTACATGGGGGTTTGACATAAGGTTCATGTTAAGGGTGTCACATCTGCTGGAACTCACAAACTTTACTGTAGAGAATCAAAGGTCCCATATTAAGTCTATGGAAATACTCATTGTGGTAAATTCCAACAGAATGAATCCCCAGACTTGCTTCAAGTAACTGACATATCAACTTAAAAGAGACATTGGCAAGGTCGGAGGTCCCCAAGTTCCCTTCTGTTCCAAATCTTTGTGTGATGGCACTGGTGTCTCTGATGTGGTAAGTTTTGGTTTTCCTTCATTTTCTTTCTGAATGATCACTGAAGTAGAGAGGAATTCAGTAGACATGATCTGTGACCCCTTGAATGACCTGCATAGATAACAAACCAGAGCCAGCATGAAATGAAGTTAATGAAAGTTCATAATGGTTACTTTTTGACATTGATAAGATTTAGGAAATCTTTGGATACATACTAGGCATGGTTTTTATGTTTTTGCTCTAAACAAAAAGCAGCAGCATATATATTTTTGAACACAAACCTGACATTTATTAGTGTATTGAAATATTGGACTACTAGTGTTGGTATGAAGCAGTCTTTATACCGTCTAATTTACATTAAAAAATATACTAGTTGAATTCTGTAACTTTCAATTTTGTAAAATTTTCTGCAAAACAACAAGAGCTATAACAGGGTTTGGCTATACTTTGTGTTTCAATGCCAGTTACTTGGGACTAGGAAAGGAATGACTCTTGGCCAGAAGACTTGAGTCACCAAGCTGCCATGCCCGCTGACTGCTGCCTTGCCCTGCCGTGTGCAGCTGAGGTGGTGCTGCCCACGCCGGGCAGAGTGTGAGTTGCTGTTGAAGCGCAGAAGAGGCACCCCTTTGCTTCTCATCCCAGGATGCTCATCCAGGGCTCTCCGTGAGAAGATCTGGATGATTTCAGTAGAGCCTGATAAGCTCGTCACCCCTGATTCTACTTACCAGCCGGAGTTTCATTCCCAGATGAGATGTCTTCATCAGTGACTTCAGAAATCACATCTAGCTGTGGTTGGCTGTGCTGAAGCAGTGCACGAAGAGCAACTGGGCTTTTCTCTGCTGCCCTCAGCAGGCCATCTTTCCTTACTTCTATGAGCATCTTGAAGAATTCTTTACATTCCTTCTCTCCATTTCTCCCCCAACATTACTTTGGTGCTGAAAGAAGGAAGGCATAGAAGTGTACGATAGGGGTTCCTGGAGATGGATTCCACTATGCTCAGCTGCTAGAGTGAGCATAAGGACCCCTGGTGCCATTCATTTGTATATTCATATAGCACACACTTACTGAAGGCCTTCTATATGCCCCCAATGGGATTTGGCACATTGATGTATTGGGGCAGTTGGAAACAGAACTGATTCAGGCTCTTTCCGAGCAGCTGCTCCAGGAGGCCACTGTGGGGATGTGTCGTTGGGCAGGAGCTCAGAAGGCATTAGGGGACATGTGTCCAAAGGAGGCAGTAGGAAGTATAGGGGATCTGATCCCTGAGGGAGAGAATGTAGACTGAGAAGATGAGACTGAAGTTTGAATCTTGGTGTCATTAATCAAAGTGATTCTTAAAGCTTGACGTTGATTTTAAATGGAGAAATTGAGTAAATAAGATGTTATTTCCCAGTTTAGTATATTGGTTGCCTATAAGAATATTTTCCTACAAGGAATGGTCGTATGTACTTGTTTTAGAACACCTGGGACAGTGGAGGTGGTGGGTGGTCACTTCCTTTTCTTGTGGCCCAAGAATTTAGGTTTCCAGGAATTTGATCAATTTAGCCACTAAAGATTCACTACCCAGATCCCTCTGTCTTGATTTGCTTCAAAAACCAAAGAAGTTAGGAGAAAAAAAGCAAGGAGAATATATTAATCCCTAGAATTGAACAGAGCAAAAAACTCTATTGCTCTTATACCTAAAACATTTTTACCTCATGGGCTCATCCCTTACACTCTAGGTGGTTCTATGTGTGCATTCCATGCCTGAAATTAGCGTGTTTCTTATGTTCTAGCTCTAAACCTATCAGGTGTTTCCAGTGCCTTTAGAACCCCAGAGAACTTTTCTTTCCCTACTTCTATGATCCTTAACTTACTGTAACATATTATTAAGGGCTTTTGTCATATCAGGGCACTTCCTGAAGGAGAAGGGGTTTTCATCTGGCTTATCTCTGGGCTCCGAATTTTATAGCCTGGAGCTTCACAATTGCGGGGTGCTCACAACTGTTTTTCCTGAACTGAGGTGTCTAGTCTCCTTGGGAAGAGAGGATCTGTGCATAGATCGGCTGGGGAGCTTGCCTCTCCAGGGGCCTATGGATTAGTAACATACTGGAATGCCCAAGAATGACCTCATAAAGCAAGGATTCTCCTTGTGGACCCTTCTGTGTGGTCCGTGGAATCTGGACGCTGAGGAAATCACTGAGCAGAGATTTTCTGTTGGGTGATAAAAGCGAGGAATAAAAATTGAAAATTTGGAAAATGTCTCAACACCGGTATCGCCGTGTCCACCGCTCAAAAGGCATTTCTGATACCCTGTTGGAAAATGCATCGAAGGTGTTCTTTGAAAGATTCAAGACATTTCAGTAAATATCCTCTATTCCTATTACTTGCTAAGAAATGTGCAACAGCAGTGGTGGCAGGGTGCCAGCGCTCTCAGCCTCTTCCCACAGGCACCCATCCACTTCTCATACTGAGGTGCACATCCTCGATGACTGGGCTTCTCTGATTGGTGAGGTTGGTGAAGGCTCAGCCAAACATGTTATTTCTTTGGCTTTTGTCTCATGACTGGCCAGTTAAGCCAGACATTATGGCACTCTTACTTGACCTGTAGACTGAATGAGTAGTTTGACTTCTTTTTGTCTTTTTTTGTTAACTACTGTTAGATAATTTGAAGGCTGTGTTTTGTAACATATTTGTTTAATTATCAAAGTATATACACTCAATATTTTTACTGTTGTGAGAACATGTTCATTTGATACGTATAATGGGTAAAAGTTATACTCTTAGAGAAAAATTGCAAAGCAAAGATAAGTATAAACAGACAAGAAAAAGAATCACCTACAACCTCACCACTACCAACATTTTGGCATATTTCCTGCCAAGGCTTTTTCTGCCCATTTTGGTTACAGTTGAGGTAGTTTCAAGGAGAAAATTTTGTATCTTGTTTTGTTTTTGTGTTTAAAAATTTTTTTTTAATTGAATGGAGGGAGGGGAAGAGAGAGGTGGGGAGAAAGAGAGAGAGAGAGAGAGACAGACACATGGACTTGTTGGTTGATTCTTGTATTTGCCCTGAATGGGGATCAAATCTGCAACCTTAGTGTATTGGGACAACGCTCTAAGCAGTTGAGCTACCCATTCAGGGCTTTTTTTGTATTTTGCTATCCAGTGGATCATAAACTTTTTTCTAAATCATGAAAAATGCATACACGTATTTTAGTAGCTGTATAGTATTCTATGAGATGGATATGCTATAATTTACTTAACCAGTCTTTTTCGTTAGACTTTTAAATTGTTTCTAAGTTCTCACTACTGTAAATAGTTCTGGGATAAACACACTTGACTCAAGTCACTGTTTGCATTTCAGATTGTATTATTTTGGGGTAGATTCCTTGGGTCAGAGGATACGAACAGTTCTGAGGCTTTTCAGAAAAGTGTCCATTTATATTCCCCCTGGCAGGTTGTGAGAATGCTCCATCACACTATACCCTTGCTAGTATTAAATATTATGTTTAAGTCTTTGCTAATTTTATAAGTAAAAAGAATAGCTTTACTTAATTTCCATCTCCCCGATTTGTAGTGCTGCTGAACATTTTGAGAAAGGTCATTGCCATTTGTATTTCATGAATTGACTGTGTTTGCCCACTTTTTTTCTTAGAGAGTTCAGTTTTTCATCATTGATTTATAAGCTCTTGTCAGGGTGATTATTTGATTATTCTCCATTTTCCTTACTAGACTGACAATACTTAGTTTTGTCCCAGTGCCCACTGTAATGCCTGGTATGTAGTAGTTACTTGATAAAAATTTGTAAAATTAGTAAATGAAGATGATGCTTTGTTTTGCTTGAGAAGGAGTGGTAACTATTCTGTTTCAGAGGTGTAGAGAGAAAGAACTGAGAAACTGAATGAGGAAAGACCCATGCAGTGATCATCATCATTCAGTCAGTATTTCATTGCAATTTTAAAGTATATATAACCTTAATTTCACAGAAGGGGGAAAGCAGACCCTAGTCCCTACAAAAAGGTATGCATTCTTTGGGGATCTAGCTCTGTTGTGAGATAATCATACCTCTTATTCAACTTTTTGACAGGAGGAAAGATACTCAATGTCAGGCATTTGTGAAGAGAGTTCTAATGAGTCGTCTGTTTAAGATAGTGATGATTAGCACCATCTCAGCGAATGCCTTTTTGTTGGTCTTGTGGACTGATTATAAAACAAAATACAAATTATTCAAACTTTCTGAGGTAAGCAGACAAAATGATCCATTTTTTTTCTGTTTCACCTGTTTTAATTCTGAAAATGTTATACAATTTTTAAGGCATTTTCAAGAAAATTTTCTGTAGAAAAATTTTAAGTGCTTTTAAAATATACTCTAAAATCTGGGAAGATGGTGGCAACAGTGGCAGTGGTGATATGGTTTTTTAATTTCCCTGAATCCCATCTTAAAAAAAGATAGAGCAACCAAATAGCAAAAGCAAAAACCCATGGGCAGCATTTGCATCAAAACTAGTTAACAAGGTATCTTTACAGGGAGCCTCAACTGTGTAGTATTAGCCTCGTGGGAGAGGATGTAAGACTGAAGCAACTTGTCACATATGGTGAATCCTCAATGAGATTAGCAACTGAATTCTCAGAAACTCTGGAAGACAGAAGGCAGTGAAATGACATATTTAATCCTCACCCAAGGACACTTTTTCCATTGCTTTTCAGAGAGAGTGGAAGGGGGGGGAGAGAAAAACATCGATGTGAGAGAGACACATTGATTGGTTGCTTCCTGCATGCGCCCCGACCAGGGCTGGGGATTGAACCTGCAACCTAGGTACATGCCCTTGGCTGGAATCAAACCTGAGACCTTTCAGTCCACAGGCCGATGCTCTAACCACTGAGCCAAACTGGCTAGAGCTGAAATGACGTATTTAAAGTACTGAAGGGAAAATATTGTCGATTAAGAATTTTATATCCAGCAAAACTATCCTTCAAAAATGAAGAAAACCATCAAGACATTCCTAGATAAACAAAAGCTGAGGGAGTTTGCTGCTAGTAGACTTGTTCTATAAGAAGTGCTAAAGATAGTTCTCTAGGCAGAAATGAAACTAGACAGTAACTTAAGCCGTCTGAGGAAATAAAGAACACTGATAAGAGTAATTACACAGGTAAATATAAAAGCCGGTATTACTGTATTTTTGGTTTGTAACTTTTTTCTACATGGTTTAAAATAAAAATGCATAAAACAATAGTTATAGATTGTTAGTGGGCATACAAGTATAAAGGTGTATTTTGTGACAACAATAGCAAAGGTGGGGATGGGGCTATATAGGAACAGTATTGTTACGTACTATTGAAGCTAAGGTTGTATAAATTTAAAATAGACTGTTATAAATTTAAGAGGTTAATTTTAATCCAAGAAAATAAAAATATACAGAAAAACAAATGAGAAAGGAATGAAGTGGTACACTACCAAAAAAAAAAAAATTCAAAAGAAAGCCATAATGGAGGAATTGAGGGACAAAAAAGCCGTGACATATATAAAACAAACAGCAAAATATCAGAAATATTTTCTTACCAATAATTACCTTAAGTATAAATGGATTAAACTCTGCAATTAAGACAGAATGGATCAAAAAGTCCATATATATGCTGTTTACAAGAGATTCACTCAAGATCCAAAGATATAAATAGTTTGAAAGTGAATGAATGAAAAATATGTCATGCAAATAGAAACCAAAAGAGAGCTGGGCTGGCTACACTAACATTAGACAAAATAGACATTAAGGCAAAAACTCATACAAGAAGCAAAGAAGGACATTGTATGTTGAATAGAGTCAATTCATCAAGAAGATAGGAGTTTTTGTTAAGTACATATAGGGAAGTTTTCAGTATTTACCATATGTTAGGCCACAAAATAAGTCTCAATAAATTAAAAAATAGTAAAATCATACAAAGTATCTTTGACAACAATTGAATGAATTCACTAAAACTCAATAACAGCAGGAAAACTGGAAATTTTTTTCTAATATATGGAAATTAAACAACACACTCTTAACTAAAAAAAAAAAAATAGCCCTGGCTGGGTGGCTCAATTGGTTGGAATATTGTTCTGTACACCAAAAGGTTCCAGGTTCGATTCCCGGTAAGGGCACGTACCTAGGTTGCTGATCGATCCCCAGGTGGCAACTGATTGATGCTTCTCTCTCACAGCAATGTTTCTTTCTCCCTCTTTCTCTAAATTCAGTAAAAAACATATTCTCCAGTGAGGAAAAGAAAGAAAAAACACACTCTTAAGTAACCAATAAGTCAAAGAAGAAATTACAAGGGAGATTAGAAAATACTTTAAGACAAGTAAAAATGAAAACACTACACTATAAAACTTATAGGATGCAGCAGAAGCAGTGCTCTGAGAGAAATTTATACCTGTAAATGTCCGCATAGGAAGGAAGGAAGATCTCAAATGAATAACCTAACTTTACACCTTGAGAAACTAGAAAAAGAAGAGCAAACTAAACCCAAAGCTACCAAAAGGAAGGAAATAAAAAGATTAGAGGGAAACAAAATGAAGAATAGAGAAAATAAAAATTGTATTCTTTGAAAAGATCAGCAAAATTGATGAGCCTTCAGCTAGATTAACTAAGAAAAATAAGATTCAAATTTCTAAAAATAGAAATGAAAGTTGGGGTATTGCTACTGACCATATAGAAATAAAAAGGATCATAGGAGAAGACTATAAACAATTGTGTGCCAACAAATTAGATAACCTAGGTGAAACAAACCAACTACCAAACTGACTCCGGAAGAAATAGAAAACAGACATATTGGAATAGACCTATAACAGATAAAAAGATTAAGTCACTAATCAAAAGCCTTACAAAAAGAAATGCCCAGGACCAGATTGCTTCACTAGTTAATTCTACTTTGCATTTAAAGAAGAATCAACACCAACCCTTCTCAGACTCTTCCAAAATGTGGGAGAGGAGGGAATACTTCTAAGAACTTGTTCCATGAGGCTAGCATTACCCTGACACCAAAGACAGACAAAGACATCATAATAAAAAAAACTGCAAGTAACCCTTACAATATAAATGCAAAAATCCTCATCAAGATACTAACAACTGAATCCACCAGCATACTTAAAGGGGGATTATACACCATGACCAAGTGGGATTTATCCCAAAATGCGAGGTTCAATGTATAAAAATCAATGTAATGCACAAATAGAATGAAGGAAAAAATCCACATGATTACCTCAGTTGATGCTGAAAAAGACAACACCCTTTGATCAAAAGATACAAATAGGTTGAAAGTGAAAGAATGAAAAGATACTCCGTGCAAACAGCAACCAAAAAAGAGCTTGGTTGGCTTTACTAAACTAACAACCAAACAATTTAAACTAGAAAAAAAAAGAAATTCTTTAACCTGATAATGGATATTTATGAAAAAATGTGCAGCTAACATCACACTCCATGGTGACGGACTGAAGGTTTCCCCCCGAAAATCAGGAACAAGACAAAATCCCTACTTTCCCCATTATTTAACATTGTACTGGAAGTTCTAACCAGAGCAGTTAGGCAAAGACAAGAAATAAAAGGTATCTGAATTGGAATAGAAGAGCTGAAATGGTCTTTGTTTGCAGACACTTGATCTTATATATAGAAAATTCTGAAGAATGTGCACATGCCTACACAACTATTAGAGCTATTAAACAAATTCAGCAAAGTGGCAGGATACAAGACCAATAGCAAAAAGTCAGTTGTATTTCTATATACTAACAGTGAACAATCTGAAAAGGAAATTAAGAAAGTTCTATTTACAAAGCATCGAAAATAATAAAATACTCAGGAATGAGTTTATCCAAGGAGATGAAAGGTGTGTATAATGAAAGTTATAAAATGTTGCTGAAGGAAATTAAGACCTAGATAAATGGGAGGACCCCCATATTCATGGATTAGAAGATTTAAGACTTAAAACTCTCCAAATTGAATTACACATTCAGTGCAATCCCTATCAAAATTTTAACAGCCTTTAAAAAAAATGAAATTGAAAAGCCAGTCCTTGAATTCATATGGATGTGCCAGGGGCCCTGAATGACCAATACAAAATTTAAAATGAACAAAGTTGGAGAACTTGTACTTGCTAACTTTAAAACTTACTACAAAGATAAAGTAATCAAAACAGCGTGGTACAGGCATAAGGATAGACCTAGGCCCACGGAATACAATTGAGATTCAAGTCGTAAATCCAGCTATCTATGGCCAATTGATTCTTTTACAAGGGTACCAAGACCGTTCACTGGGAAGAATAGTCTCTTCATCAAATGGTGTTGGGACAACTTGATATCCCCATATGAAGGAGTAAAGTTGAAGCCCTGTCACACGCTATACAAAAATTGACTCAAAATCTATCAACATCCTAAATATAAAAGCTAGAATTCTTAAAACATAGGGGTAAATCTTCATTACCTTGGATCTGGCGATGGATTCTTAGACACCAAGAGCACAGGTAACAACAAAAAAAGATAATTTAGACTTCATCAAAATTAAAAACATTTGTGAATCTAAGGACACTATCAAGAGAGTGAAAAGATAACCCACAGAATGGGAACAAATACTTGCAAGTCATATGTTTGCTAAGGGATTAATACCCACAATATATAATGAACTTCTACAATTCAACAATCTAAAGAAGCCAATTCAAAAAATGGACAAAGGGCCCTGGCCGGTGTGGATCAGTGGTTTTAGAGCATCTGTCCATGCGATTCCCGGTCAAGGGCATGTACCGGGGTTGCAGGTTCCATCCCTGGCCTGGTCTGGACAAGTGCGGGAGGCAACCAATCGATGTATCTCCCTCACGTCAATATTTCTCTCCCCCTCCCTCCCTCCCTTCCACACACTCTCAGAATCGATGGAAAAAATATCCTCCGGTGAGGATTAAAACAGAACAAAAAAGATACCATTTCATATTCATCAGACTGACAAAAATTAAGAAGTTCGTCAGTAGGAAGTGTTGGTAAGGACGTCAGACGGTAGGAACATTGCTGATGTTAGTACGATAGCTTCAGAAAACAATTGGACATCTAGTAAAGTTGAAGATACTCCTATCCTACAACCTAGTAATTCCACTTCTAGGTATATAACAGAGAGAAACTTTACATATGTGTACAATAAAATGTACAAGAATTGCTCAAACTTTTTGTACTATTCTACTATTTGCAATAGTGAAAAATTACAAACTAAATATCACTCAGTGGGAACTGGATAAATAAATGGTATTTTCATAAGTGGAATTGTTAATTAGCAGTGAATCAGTAAACTAGGGGTACACATGTCAGCATGGGTGAACCTCATAAACAATTTTAAATTAAAAAACCACAAGTTTCCAAAGAATACTTCAGTACAAGTATTCATGTAACGTATAAAATACAAAATGATACCATGTAGTTTTTGGGATACACATGTGGTAAAAGTATAAAATGCACGGCATGACACACTCCAGATTTACAATAGGATTACCTTTGTGGGACGGGAAGGGGATCTGAACAACCAAAGGCCCATAAGAGACTCTGTCTATAATGCTAACACTTTATTTCTTAAGCTGGGTGGTAGTATATGGTGGTTCATTATGTTATTCTTTATACCTTTTTGTGTATCGTAAATGTTACATAGTATTTTTTAAAAGTAAACAGTTGCAACGTGGAGACCACAAATACAAGTATGCAGGCAAGTAAAAACACTAGCTGCCTTAATGTTATCCAAATGGGTAGTTGTGGCTAGAGTTACAGCATCTGACATGTATGTAAAAGGTGGTATATCTCAGAAATATTTCTACTTCCCTCCAGACATTCTAGCTCCCTTTCAATCCAACCCAGACTCATCTCAGTTAAAGGCATCTCGCAGTTTCTCTGTCTGAAACACTAGAGTCCTCCTTGCCTACTCTCTTCCCTGTGCATCCTTGAGTCCATCAGCAAGTCCCATCATCGCCACCTACAAAAGACATACAGAATCTGACCTCTTCTCGGCACTCCACACTGTCCCTCAGTCAGATCCAGCCGAACCTCACCTCTTGCCTGTATGACTGCTAGAAATAATCCTGATATCCACCGCCTTTTCCCTAATCTGCCTTCCAGCCGCCGTGTTTCTCGGCTCCCCCACAGTCTCTTTTCCACTGAGATCTCTTAAAAATGTATCAGATCATATCACTCCCTTGCTCAAAATCCTCCAAGGCTGAGATTAAAATTCAGAGCCCTCACCAGCCTACAAGGCCGTTCCTCCACAGTCTGCGTCTCCTGCCCTGCTCTCCCTTTCTGTTCTAGTCGTGCTGCGTTGCTGTTCCTTCAACAGCCCCTTCCTCGCCTTAGGGCTCTTGCGCTCCCCACTGGGAATCATTCTTCCAGTTTTTACTACGACTCCGTTCCTGGCTTCAGTGGGGCTCCACTCACCACCTTTCCTAAAATAGTTGCCACAGCTGCCCCTCCCCCACTTTGCCAGTCCCTCAGTCTCCCTTTGACTAGTTTCCTTCCTATCTGCTGTAATACTGTATATGGATTTGTTTAGGCATCTATTTCTGTCTTTCCTGCGAGACTGTAAGCTTCCTGGGGCTGGGCCCTTTCTGTCTTACTCATTTCCCAGTGCCTACATGGTGCTTGTTTGTCACATGACAGATGCTCAATCAAAGCTCCTTCAGTGAATGAATGCACTGATGATAAGGAACAACTTAGAGGACTCAACAAGTGCCCTTTGGGCCCTGGCCAGGTGGCTTGGTTGGTTGGAGCGCCGTCCTGTACACCAAAAGGTTTCGGGTTTGATTCCCGGTCAGGGCACATACCTAGGTTGTGGGTTCAGTCAGTGTTTCTCACATCTATGTTTCTCCCCCTTCCTGTCTCTCTCAAATCAATTTAACAAAATAAATAAGTACCTTTTGATAAAAACAAAGCCACTGGAGTTCTAGATGCATAAGGATCTGAGTAAGACTATTTCATAAAGTATAAATGGGGGGGGGGGAAGGCAGAATATTCTTCAGAATCATATTAGGTAACTGATGTGTAATTATGTGCGATTAAACAGAGTAAATATACATAGATGAGCACTGCATCTGTATATAAAAGGTTGGGTATTCAGGTTGGCCAGACAACTCTTGGGATCTTGTCTTTGGGAAATCCTACATGCAGGTTGCTTGTCATGTTGAGTTGCCTTATACCGGGGCCTGTCTAGTTACTCAGCGTGTCGGTTAGTCAGTCATTCCCAAGTACCCTGGGTCTAACCTAGCCCCAGACTTCAGGCCATGGGCCAGGGAAGACACAGAAGAAGAAGGGAATCAGGCACACTGTGTGTGCACTGTGTGCCAGGGACTCTGCCTGGATTTATTTCTCATGTGGGTGACTTACGACCCCCACCCTCAGCCAGCACACACCTGATTGGGTGGCCCAAGCAGGGAGAGGGCCAGGATCATAGGTCTGACCCTCCAAACCTTGCCACTCCTGCAGGTCTCAGAGATCTTCTTTGTGGCCATGTATAGTGCCGAGTTCTATGTGAAGCTCTATGTGGACCCCATAAACTTCTGGAAGGATGGCTACAACCTGCTAGATGTGATGATTATTGTCAATGTCGTGATCCCCTATGCTCTCCGCAAGATCAAGGGCAAGCACTACCCCTACCTCAACATTGCTGATGGCATGCAGTCCCTGCGCATCCTCAAGCTTATCACCTATAGCCGTGGCATCCGGGTGAGTAATCTGCTGATGCGTGGTTCTGGGAGTGTAGGTGATGGGGCCCACCTGTCCACCAGCCACTGATGAAAAATAATTGTACTACTATCGTCCAGTTATTGAGTCCTACTGTATAGCAGGTTGATCTTTACTTGGATTACCTCATTTAATCTTAAAAATAATGATAAGAAAAGTATTATTAGTCCCATTTTACAGATGAAGAAATTGAGGCCCCAGATCACTCAGCAGGTAGATGCCAGAGCTGAGACTGGAAAGGTGTGTCTTGACTCTAGAGGCTATCTGAACTTTTCCTCTCTCCCATGCTGCAAAGTGTACCACCTTCTTATGGCACTCTTCAACCTCCACCTTTCTGGTAGCCTGGGCTACTCACTGCTTTCCCCAAATGCTAAAAATCTGCTGCTCCTTTTGGTGGGAATAGTCTCATTTCTTGGTTCAGGCAGTTCTGGAAGTGCTGCTCCTGCTGAGGAGTCATGGGCTGACTAGCCTTTCCTTGGCTCAGAAGGTTTCAGAACAAACCTCAGAGCTGACCTAAGCATACCCTTAGCATTCAGCCTGGACGCAGGATGTTTGCCCTGGCTTTGCACCCAGTGTCCACGCTTCTCCAGGAAGGGGCTGGTTTGGACCTATTTGACCAGTGAGGGTGTGCCAGCCTGTTTGGCTGAGAGATTGCTTCTAGCCTAGCCTGCATGTCTCCTAGGGCCTAGGCCTGACACTCAGGGACCCCCAGTCCTCGGTGGAGAAGATAAGGAGAATGTTAAAGGGCTCCTCCTGCCCTGGAGCCCCATGCATTCATTCCTTGCCCTCATGTAGTCACACACGTGGCTGTGTCACCTCCCCCTCCATGTGGTGAAGCTTTTGGAAAGAGGTGTCTGTACACACAACCCCCACTTCCTGATCTGTTTTTTATGCCCTGGCTTCTTCCCTCCATTCCGAAGTAACTAGTCTCTCGAAGGTTGCCAACAACCTCCGTGTCACCAAGTCCACTGGCCATTTCCCTTGGCATCCTTGTCACCGCCTTCTCTTGGTTTTCCTCCCGCCACTTGGGCATGACTTATCCAGCACATGTTTCCTTTGCCTGGCTCATAAGTGTTTTCTCAGAGCATGTCCTGAGTTCTTTTCTCTACATATTCTTTTTGGGTGATCTTTTCCACTTTTCAGGAGTCTTCACCTGCCCACGCCTCTCTCTTTGACCTTCAGACCCAACTGTCTCCTGGACGCTTTGCATGCTCCTCAAACTCAACATGTCTAAGCTGGACGTCATTGCTCTCCTCACCCCTACTCTCAGACCCCCAAGCCCTGGTGCCTCCTCCTGCAACTGAAAGGCACTCCCCCAACCCTAGTCACCTTCCGAGTAATGCATTTGTTCACTCCTCTCCCCCAGAGCCCTGTTGCATGACCTTCTAAATAGTAATGACAGTTTTCATCCCCACAGTCATCACCTTTTCTCCATCACCATCCTCCTTTACCTGGATTCCTGCAGTGACTTCCCACACCACTGAGAATTTTGTAACAGAAATACCCCAGCAGCTGGGGGAATCTCTAAAGTGTACATCAAATCATGACACCCTTCCTTGGGAAACCCGAGCCTGGCTCCCCTTATTTGTAGGCTAGAGACAGACCAGTAATGTGATCTAGAAGTGAAGAGGGGAGTGTCTGAGGTGCTGGGCATTGGAGTCGATGTGTAGGTTCAAGAGTAAGGAGGGTGGTCAGGAGAGAAAACTGGGAGGTGACTGCCAGGTGATAGGCACCTCTGAGTGAGGGACTGATCAGACAGTGGGAAGCATAGCCTGGTTTTTCCAGATGGCAAGCACCAAGGGAGGAGGGTCTAAAGTGGTGTAAGGGCCCCTGGAGATTAGGAAGTCAGGGGATGAGGAGCCCTGGGGGGTGGGGGGTATTCCATAGAGATGCTGAAGATCCCAGGATGGCAGCAGGATCGGGCGGCACCTGAGGGAGAGATTCCTAGACAGGAGGTGGAGTAGGAAGCTGGAAGGTTGGCCCTGCCCAGAGGCAGGGCTGTGGGGGTCAGGCAGAGGGTGGCCTCCTGAAGGAGGCCGTAGGGGATAGGCAGCCTCCCTTGAGAGGGCTGTGGAGGAGCGATGTGCTGAGGCAGGAGAGGATTCTCAGGTGAGGCCAGGGGAGGGATCACCATGCAATGACAGGTAGTACCAGAGGCCTGCAAAGTCACAGGAGGAAGGAGGTGATGGCAGTGGGCTGAGAGGAGGGTTGCACAGGGAGGAGGGAAGCAGAAAAGACTGGGGCAAGAGGTGCTTCCATCTTGGAGGCTGGGGGTGGGATGAGGGCAGTGACCCATATTGGCACTTTGAGAAGCTGAGGGCACTAGCTGCCTGCTCAGTGCATTGTCTTGGCCATGTTGTGATGGCCTGGTCAGAGGTGAAGCCTAAAGGTGCCTGGGGCTTAGGTCCTGGCAGGGACAGCCCATCCTTTGAGCCCAGGATCCAGTGAAGGGAGCACAGCCCACCCCACTGGCCAAGGTTTGTCCTAGAGCTCAGCCTGGCTGTCTTGGAGACTGCGGGCTTCTGCCCAGCCTTGGTCCTTGTAGATACACACAGAAGCCTGTGGGCCTGCAGACACAATGTGCACACTGACATACAGCCCATGTTTGACCTTGGGTTTTCTGTTTTTAAACAGAGCCTTTAGCCAAAAGTTGTTCCCTGGGGACCACCAGGCCTCTGGCTGTGGCTCTTCTGTGGCCTTTGGGATGTCACTGGACATTCCAGGGTTCCAGAAGCGACTGTAGATTACGTGCCCGTGGTACACTGGCCTGGCCAGCTGGCCGGGGGAGCTGGCGGTGTCAAAGGTGGGACCTGTGCCTCTGTGCTATTTATATTCACTGAAGTCTAAGTGAGGCTTTAACAGGCCACAGCCTCAAGTGCCCAGAGCTGGCACTTTGGCACATTCTTAGCTTCTGTCCCCTGATTAATTAAAATGATACTCTACCTTCTACCTCATGAGGAAATAGTTTCTTGTTTTTCACGGAGAGCTCTGGGCACCCAAGGGCCATACTGCCCCTGATTATCTGCATTTCAGTCTGAAGAACAACCTTCAGAAGCTGGGCTGTTGGGGGAGCCCCCGCCTCTCCTTCCTCCCCGCCTCCTCCTTGGGGCTCATCACTTTCTGCACATCAGAGCAGCCCGGTCTGGGCACGTGCCCTTCCTGCAGGTCCTCTTCATACCCAGAATGCCCCAGGGCCAGGAGGGCAGCTGTGGCTTGAGCCAGAGCCCAGGAAGGCTGAAATGGGGGCTAGGCATTGTTTCCCTAAAGAATTTGGGAATTCAACAGGCTCTAGGCCTCAAAGCCCAGGGCTTCTTCAGGGAAGAAACTACAGGCCTTTGCGGATCTGGGCAACCACCCTTGGGACTGAATTGTTGCATCTTCTGAACTGTAGACTAAAGACCTGCCTGGTTGTGCTTGAAGACGTGGTCAAGGCCTGTTGTCAGGGGTTATTCCCACCCAGGCTTCCAGTGACCATGACCTCTTCTCCATGGCCGTTCTTAAGGCTGCTCAGCTGTGACCTAGGTAGTGCTGGGCCTGCAGCTGGCCTGGAGGAGGGACACCCAGCCGGGGTCAATCCCTCACCTTTCTGCAGCACCTCAATAGACTCACGTCTTCAGTCTTCACAGTTCTTGGGAAAGAAGATCTGTCTCTGTCTTGCCAGGAGGGAGGCGATTTTTCACATCTTAGCTCTTTTGGAATTAATCTCAAAATACTGATTTTCTTTCCCTGAGGGAAGAGGGAGGCATCCGGCATGCGTTCACCCCTGCAGGCAGCTGCCCAGCCAGCACACATGCAAAGCAGCCCTGGGGCTCTTGGGTTATCTCTGTGCTTCCCAAATTACCCCAAACTGTCCCAACTTCACTGTCCTGTGTTCCCAACTCTATCAGGCACCTCCTTCCCTAGCGTTAAGCCAATAAATGGTTTCCTGGTTTAGAAAAAGGGGCCTTAGTGGTTGAAGGTGGTGGCACGAGGTGAAGGGCTTGAGAGTTGGTCTTAGTTGTGACCCTGGCCTTCGATCCCTCACCTTGAAATGGGAAGAATGATACACCTGCCTGCCTTGAAATGGTGCCTGTGACAGTGGGTAGGTGAACACGTATTGAGCACCTACTGCATGCAAGACTCTGGATTACGAAGAACAAATGATGAGGAGCCATGCACTATGCTCCTCAGCAGTGGGCAATGTAGCGGGAGGTAAGACCGAGGTCACAAGACAGAGACCTGCCTATGAAATGGGCCCCAGAAAGAATAGGAAGCCACCTTTCCCTCAGCCCTCTTTATTCCCACTCCCTGAGTGGCTCCCCTATTCTTCCCGGGCCTGGAAGAGCCTTCAGGGCTGGCCCTCCCTGAGAAGCAGGAGCGGGACACCTCAGGATGACCATGAAGCCAGGCAGGGGTTCAAGTGGTTGATGGGGAGGCTACCCTAGACCCAAGACAGCAGACACCATCTGCCCATAGATGACAGAGGGCAGAGGGCAGGCATTGGTAAATGTTAGACTGGTCCAGTCCTCGATCTGGGCAGAGTTCCCCTCCCTCCCTCTCTCCATCCAGCCATTTATAGAGCATCTACCACATGTAGGCAGGGCACTGGGTGCTAGAGACGGCTGTGGTCTGGGCAGACTAGACCTCTGTCCTCTGAGCCCCACCCCGCCCGCAGCCTTGCCTAGCCCGGCGCCTCTGCCTTGCAGACACTCATCAGCGCCACGGGGCAGACAGCCTACACCGTGCTGTCTGTGCTCTTCCTGTTCTTCGTCCTGATGTACATCTTCGCTGTCCTGGGCTTCTGCCTGTTTGGAGCTCCAGATAGGGGTGACTGGAAAAACTGGGGGAGCCTAGCTGTGGCCTTCTTTACCCTCTTCAGCTTGGTGACGGTACTGTGTCTGGGAACAGTGGTGGGGGAAAGGGCCTTGAGAAGGGGCTGCCAGCTGGTGTGTGTAGACGTGCTGGGCCTCCCACGGGGCCTTTACCATGTTTGAATACTTGGCTGGGCTGGGGAAGCTGAAGCAGAAGCCAGTGCCCTGGCCAGGGGTCCCTCTCTGTCTAACCTTGTGACTCCCTAGAGCATTCCCATTTGTGTCACAGGGTTGTAAAAATTTCAAAGAGTTCTCAAAAGATGATTCATTTGGATTAAGTTTAATTTAGAAGTGAAACCATGTCACACAGCCTTTCTGGAACAGACTATCATAAATCCGCCCAAGTCTAGAAGTCTAGACTCTGTTGGACTCTGGAAAGACTGGAGTCTCCAAAGAGGGCCTGGCAGAGAGGCGGTATCTTTTGGGGAAGGATGGGAAGCCTTTTGGAGCAGAGCCCCCAAGACACCTGGCCAAAAGTGCCCACACCCAGTGGTGCCCCATACCCCAGGCCTGGACTCAGTGAATTGTGGGGAGGGATTCAGAGAGGCTGATGTGGAGGAAGCGGCAACCTTCTTCTAGTGGGGTGAGGGCTCCCCTAAGGTAGGTGAGCAGGAAGCCTACCCTGCTGAGCCTTGGCACTTGGCATGCCCTCCCCTGCCTGAGCAGGTTGATGGCTGGACAGACCTGCAGCAGCAGCTGGACGACAAGAAGTTTGCTCTGAGCCGATCGTTCACCATCCTCTTCATCTTGCTCGCCTCTTTCATATTCCTCAGCATTTTCGTGGGTGTGATGATCATGCATACCGAGGTGAGGCTGTGTGTGTAAGGACTGGGAGGTCGGCATAGGTGTGACAGGCGGGGCTGTGGGCCATCTCCAGGGAGGAGCCTGAACTCTTTCCCTCCTAAAGTGGAGGGGAGGTGGCCAGGAGGGCAGGGTTGTGGGAAGTCTCTGCAGCTACGTTGGCAGCTTGAGTTGGAGGCTGGCCCTGTATGGAGAGGTTTCTCCTGCTAAGGGGTCTGAGCAGCAGTGCAAGACTAGAGAGGAAGAAAGACGGGGTGGTTGTGCAGTGAGAACCTTCACCTTACCTCGTTCCCCCACTCCCCAGGACTCCATCAAAAAGTTTGAGCGGGAGCTAATGCTGGAGAGGCACATGATACTCATGAAAGAGAAGCAGGTGATCGTGAAGCGGCAGCAGGAGGAGGTCAGGAGGCTGATGCACGCACAGGTAGGTGATCTCCATAGGCAGGTGACAGATACATGGACAGTCACGGCTGAAGCAATGGCCAGGAAGAGGAGCCTTGGGGCCTTTGGAGTGGTAGATGGCCTCAGGCATCTGTGGCCTTAGGTAAGGCAGGTAACCACCTCCTATATTTTCCAGAGTCAAGCTTTATTTTCTCTGCGTTTGTATTTCTCTGGACCTGTGAGAGCGTGGAGTGCTATAATTACAATAGTATCTCCCTCCTTCATGGGGAATACTGCTCTGCTGGGCGCTTTGCCTGGGATGCTCTTGTTACCGAGGGTTCACTGGGTGCCAGGCAGGCATGGCCCTGTCCTCTGAGTGGGTGAGGCCACGGAGGTCATGATAGGTGTCACTAACCTCAGTTTTTCTAAATTTAACATGAATGAGTACAGCAGGCTGGGATTTTCTGACAGGCCTGATGCAGCTGTAAAGGGCTGGCCATCTTCTCTCTTCAGCCCAAGTGCTCTGAGCTCCCCATGCTGAGCCCTGGGTGCTCTGTCAGGTGCCAAGCCGTTCCCGCTTTCTCCCCCGTGTGCCCAGTGCATCCCTCCTCAGCCCCTGCGCTGAGGCAGAGACATCTGCCTTTCTTGACTGTGTTCAAGGTTTGCTCAGGGCAGGTGAGGCCATGCTGAGCCACACTCACCTCTCACCGGTTCCTTCCTGTGTTATCTGTCCTCACTCAGTGATGGTGGCTCACGAGGCTCCCTCCGGCAGGGAGATCAGGCTCAGAGGGGCCAGGGTGAGCCTGTGATTAGGCTCAGGACTCATCCTGGGGCCAGGATCAGCTTTCTGCCTGGGCCCCTTGTGGCGGGTCCCCAGGTCTGTACATCTTGAGTATCACATCCTCCTTGTCATTTATCTCTCTGTGCTTCCCTCTCTAGCAAAATGTTGACTACAAAAGTTTCAGTGAGCTGGTGGAGAACTTCAAGAAGACCTTGCAGCACACCGACCCCATGGTCTTGGATGATTTTGGCACTAGCCTACCCTTCATCGATGTCTACTTGTCCACTCTGGACAACCAGGACACTACGATTTACAAGTCAGTCCCAACCCCGCTGACCCTGGCCCAAGGAGACTAGGTCTTTCCTGGTCCCCCTGCTTCCTTGAGGGCAGGGCCATGCCAGGTGCCCTGAGAGAGCAAGG